TGAGATTGACAAGCAAAGCAACCACTTGAGACACAGACTCCAAAGTGGTTTCAATAACTAAAAATCCAAACAAAAGTACCACTAACCGCTAGGAAGTTGGCCAATGTACTGTCAATATCAGTTGACTGGTTTCCATTTGTCTCTTTGGATTGTGCTGGTTTTTCAGAAGCATCACTTTCATCATCATCACTGTCTGCATAAGCACCAAGTAAACATAAACCACCTACAAGCAAAAAGGAACATCTTAGTAACAATGCTGAATGTCCTAAGACATACCTAAGAAAACACACATAGCATGGTCCCTTCGCTAAAGAGTTTACACTGTGTTTACTTATTGATTAGAACTCAAAATAATAAACACTACACTGGGCTTGGGGATATAACTCAGTGGTAAAGCAAAAGGTCCTCAGCTCAATTCCAAAGACAAAATAAGAAAAGTCACTAAACCACCAAAGGCATTAGTGGTATAATACACTTAAGACTGCATATAGCTACTTGACATCTTCCGCAATATTGACAATCAATGAATCTTACTCTTTCAAAATTAACACAAGCGTTTAGGGATTAAAATATCCATTTCAGTAGTAATGGGATGGCTCAGGTGGTAGAACACCTGCTTAGCTAGGGTAAGGCCCTGATTTCAAACCCCAGTGTGGAAGAAAAATCCCAGCACAGAAGAAAATTAAGAGTTAATATATGTGGGCCAAAGAAAAGCACATTCAGATCCATTAAACAAAAACTTACAAGCAATGCTCTGAGTGCCCAGAACAAAAATAGTGAGATATCTCAAAACCCCACTCTTAACAGGTAGGTCAAAGATTCAACAAAGAAACAATAGAACTAAATGACATTACAAACCAAATGGACTTGACAAGACATTCACAGAGTATTTCACCCAGCAGCTGCAAAATATACATTTTTCTCAGCAGCTCATGATTATATTTTAGGACAGGAGTAGGGAATACCCAGCCTGGATGTAAATAATTGGTACACATCAGTGCAGACACATACATGCTCCTTGTAGGCTGTGCATGGCCATCTGTATTAATAGCTTTGTATGACTTGTTAATGATATAAATATTCAAATGTCTCTTGGCAGAAAAAAACGTTCATTGTTTTTGGGACATAAATCTTAGCAAACACAAGAAACCACTAGAGAAAATGTCCAAACACATGAAGACTAAACAACACGATGTTGAAAGACAAGTGGATTACTAAAGAAATAAGGGGGAGATAAAAAAAAAAGAAGTTCCTGGAAGGGCCTGGTAATGTGGTTTAGTAGAGTGCTTGCCTAGCATGCAAGAAGCCCTGGGTTTTATTCCGTAGCACCACATAAGCAGAAAATGCCAGAAATGGCTCTGTGGCTGTGGCTCAAGTGGTAGAGTGCTAGCCTTGAGCAAAAGAAGCTCAGGACAGTGCTCAGGCCCTGATTTGCCCCAGGACTGGCAAAAAAAAAAAAAAAAAAGGTTCCTGGAAGCTAAGTGCTGGTGACTCACACCTGTAATCCTAGCTACTTAGGAAGCTGAGATCTGAACATGCTGGTTTAGAAGCCAGCTCAAGCAGAAAATCTGAGAAATGCTTATTTCCAATTAACCAAAAGCTGCACTGAAGATGTGGCTCAAGTGGTAGAGCATCGTTCTCAAGTGAAAAAGCCAATTGAGAACATGAGGCTCTGAGTTCAAGCCCTAGCACAGGCAAAAAATAAAAATAAAAATAAAAATCCTGGAATTTAATAAAAACAAAACATATAGAGCAAAAGCATTGTTATGAAGAAAATTTATAGCTGAGTACCTACATAGAAAAAAAAAAGCTCAAATAAACAGCCTAAAGACCTCAAACTTCTAGAAAAAAACAGGAACATGCTAAACTCAAGATCAGTAGACAGAAATAAAAATTAGGGCAGTGACTGGAGTCTTTAACTTTATAAAGAATTAATGAAACAGAACATTAGCTCTTTGAAAAATAAGTAAGATGGATAAACCCCTAGCTAATTTGACTGCAAGGAAGAATCCACTCAGGAGGGGAGATCTGAGGATTTTGTCTCAAAAGCCAGCCAGGGCAACGAAGGCCCAAGACTATTACTTCCAATTAACCCTCAAAAAAAAGTGGAGCTGTGGCTCAAGTGATATTGTACAGCCTTGAGGGAAAAAAGCAAAGGGACAACACCTAGGCCCCAAGTTCAAGCTCCAGACTGGCACAAAAAGTAAAATGCCAAGTAGGTATGAGGGACAAAATAGCATTAGAAAACGTTAGGGGGATTTAAAAAAAAGGAAGAAAAAGAAAAGTAGCAAAGAGCATTTTGGACACAGGGAAAAAGCAAGAAACAAATTGTGTTCCTTGGAGTGAGTATACCAGCAAGCCCTCAGAAACAAGACACTGATTCAATTAGCAAAACAGGAACATCCCACAAAGCATTCTATGTGTACAAACATACTAAATAAAAGATACTCTAGAGAAGATGTAGAAGAAATGAAAAACAAGTATCTATACCTGTTGCTTTAACGGCTGTGGGTCTGGTGGTCATAACTGGTTTGGGAGGATTTGGTACAACTTTGGGAACCTCCACCACCATTTCTTGTTCATCTAGATTTTAAAAACAAAGAAAACTGCAGTCAGACAGTGGACCTAAGAAAACATTGGAGGCAACAAATCGATCTTGTCTGACCTTTCAGGTCTAGATTTATCAACTGTATCGCTGACCCCATGGGGGAGAGAGCTAGAATCTTCCATTTCCTTAGTGACTCCGACATTGACAATCTCAGGACGACATATGCAATGCTTCAAACTTACCATGCACAAATAAATCTCCTTCGGGTCATACAGTATATATGTGCTTCATGAGTTCACCTGATTACTTAAAAACTGAAAAAGTGACTGATTTATCAGGATCTACCCCTGTATAGACATACAACATCTTGCTTTTTTTTTTTTTAGTAGGTCATGGGGCCTGAACTCTGGGCCTGGGCGCTGTCCCTTGGCTCTTCAGCTCAAGGTGAGCGCTCTACCACTTGAGCCACAGCACCACTTCAGGTTTTCTGGTGGTTAATTGGAGATAAGAGTGTCACGGACTTTCCTGCCCGGGCTGGCTTTGAACCATGATTCTCAGATCTCAACCTCCTGAATATGTAGGAATACAGGCGTGAACCACTGGTGCCCGGCTCGTAGTAAATTTTAATCTACACACGTATCTGAAAGCTCCACTTAGCCTATCATCTGGAGGATGGATGCCTGTTAGGATCCGGTTGTTGTTGTTTTGTGTTTATGCCTGGTCTACCGTTTTTTTTTTTTAGAGGCTTACGACTAAACAATCTGAATTTCAGCAAAAAAGCAAGCAAGCAGGTGGCCTACAATAAAGGCTAGATTACAGTGTTACAAGTCTCGCACGTGGAACACCCCTCTACGTTATCAAAAGGCGACGCAAGAGGTTTGGGTGGGGGCGGGTCGCCAGTGGATTCCAAAAGCCCCCGGGGGTTACCCTGCACCCGCCATGGCGCCTTTGGGTGGGTCCCGGCGGGGCTCGCCCGGCGCCATCGCCTCTTCCGCGCCGCCCAGAGGCCCTCGGCCGGCCTCTCGGCGGGCCGCGGCACGCAGGCCTCGGACTCGGGCCTCGCCAGTCCGGGAATCTCATCCTCTCTGGGCCCGGCGAGGCGCCCGAGGCCTAGGCCGGAAGCCCCGCGCTCGAGTTTGGGACATCTCCACTAGAGGCAGGGGCCCCCGCGCGCCCTCACCTTCCGAAGGCGGGTCGTCTGGGGCCGCGGCGGCAGGCACTGAGGGCGACGCCGTGGTCGTGGTCGTGGTCGCGGCCGCCGCCGCCGCCGCCACAGGGGCTGACTGGCTAGGCGGCGCCGCTGTAGAGTCCGGCTCCGTGTCGGGTTCCAGCTCCAGGTCTCGGCCCGGCGTGCTGCTTCGAGGACCCGGCGGAGAGAGCTGCAGGATGGGCCTGCGGCCGGGTACCGCCCGGGACTTCTTCCCCATCGCGAGCCCAAGCGCGAGCAGCAAGCGGCGGAAACCAAGAGGGGCGGGCACCTGACGCCAAGGTACGTAATCAATATTCATGCACCACTGCGCCGCCTCCAGCCAGGATCCGCTTTTAACCGGCCGAGCCCGCGCTCGCGCGTGCGCTTTCCGCTCCAGCAGGCCATAGCTTGCTCGACTCCCCTACGTAAGGCGGGCTTTGCTAATGGCGCTAGGCGATTGGCTTACTTGATAGAAAAGGAAGCGACAGCCAATAGAAACAGAGGAGTGCTAGTGGAGCCAATAGTGTGTTCTGGAGACTTCTCCGCGGAGGGTGGGATCCGCCCATGCGTCGTCCCTCCCTCCCCCTCCTCCACCGCCCTGAGTCTTTTCTTGTCCTCCATCTTGTACCAGATCTTACCTAACTGTTCCGGGTTATGTTTCTTTTAGGAAGCTCTGCTGTTTTCTGACCCTTTTCCTAAGATTCGCCCAGATTACTGTAGCTTACAGTAGCAAAATGTGCCTTCTCTGATTTTGTAAAATTTCAAGTGCAAAGATGATATTGAGAAAAATAACTAGACCTTGTACAGAGAAGGCGCATTGTTCCTGGGATGCAGGAACGTTAGCCTGCCTTTAATCACTCACCTTCAACCTCCAGATCCAGATACTTGTGGCTAATTAATGGCGACACCGAGCTCCTAAGTAATAAGCTTAAATTCTGAGACTTGTTTGCTGGCAGAAATGACATGACATCCTCCCGCCCTTTCCCGTCCCTCCCCCCGCTCCCCCCCCAGTCTCCCCACAATGGTATCCTGGACCTGGGCTCTCAGGCCGAGGCCGCGGCCTAGCAAGACACCACTCTCACAAATATCCCTCATTGCTTCTAGACCATGCTTGGGTGATGTCCTGCAACCTGGGCTCTAGTACCCGGCAAAATACAGCCTGTGTTTTGTAGCTCTCCAATGATGTTATAAACAAGTAGCCAATAGCCCTTGGCAGGAAAAAAAATAGCTCCTCAATCCTATATAGTAGACCTGTAGTTAATTCCTGCAGCTTGTAGAGGTGAGGTTTAAAGTGTAAACTAAGCACATTATTCTACAAAAGAACTAGTTTTAGAATGTATATGCAATCAGAAATCAGGGGCTGTGCCAGGTATGGTAGCTCAAACCTATAATCATTTATTTTTGCCAGTCCTGGGGCTTGAACTCAGGGCCTGTGCACTGTCCCTGAGCTTCTTTTGAAGCTCAAATTAGAGCTCTACCACTTGAGCCACAGTGCCACTTCTGGTTTTTTTCTGTTTATGTGAGGAATTGAACCCAGGGCTTCATGCATGCTAGGCAAGCACTCTATCACTGAGCCATGTTCCCAACCCCTTCAAGCTTATAATCTTAGCTACTTGAAAAGCCAAGATTTTTAGGAAATTTTGGTTCTGCAGGCCAGGCAGAAAAGTTTCAACAGGCCCTATTCTCAATGGATGACTGAGCAGAAGCAGTGGTGCCCACCTGTCAACCTCAGCACCAGTGATGTACAAATAGGACTGTAGCTCTGGTCACATAGCAAAAAAAAAGGAAGACCCTGCCTCAGAAATAACCACACTGGGCACCTGGCTCACGCTTGTAATCCTAGCTGCTCAGTAGGCTGATATCTGAGGATCAAGGCTCAAAGCCAGAACAGGGAAGTCCATGAGACCCTTCTCTCCAATTAACTACCAAAAAAGCGTGGGGCTGGGAAGGTGACTCAGTTGTAGAGTGCTTGCCTTGCATGCATGATGCCCTGGGTTCGATTCCTCAGCACCACATAAGCAAAAAGAAAAAAAAGCCGGAAGTGGCTCTGTGGCTCAAGTGGTAGAGCGCTAGCCTTGAGCTGAAGAGCTGAGGGACAGCGCCCAGGCCCTGAGTTCAGGCCCCACGACCAGAGCCCCCCCCCAAAAAAAAAACTATCAAAAAAGCTGGAAGTGGAACTGTGGCTCAAATGATAGAGCAAAAATGTTCAGGGACGACGCCCAGGCCTCAAGTTCAAGCCCCAAGACTAGAACAACGATAATAATAGGACAAAAGGGGCTAGAGGCAAAAGTAGATCATCTGCTTTGCAAGTGAAACCCCAAGTTCAAACTCCCCAAAAGAAGACCTCAAATGTGTGAGAATGGATAATAAAAATGTGGCATAATAATGGGAAGAACATTAAGTAGACCGGGACAAATTTGTTGCTATGAATCCATCAGGAGATACTGCATTTAATGTGGCAGTTCAGAGAATTAGGGATGATGCTAATACTCTTGTGGGCCACCTGAAAAAAAAAAAATCAAAAGATGGCCCATTGATAAGTGAATTGGGAAAGTAGAAACTCCCTTGGTTTACTAAGAAGGATTTAAAGGCATGCCTGGCACTAGTGGCTCCCACTTGTAATTCTAGCTACTCAGGAGGCTGAGATCTGAGGATCACAATTTGAAGCCAGCCAGAGCTCCAATTGACCATCAAAAAGCCAGAAGTGGAACTGTGGCTGAAGTGACAGAATTCTAGCCTTGAGTGAAAAAGCTAAGGCACAGGTTTTGAGTTTAAGTGCCAGTACCAACACCAAAAACCAAAAAAACTCCCAAATAAAAAAAGCCAGGTGCTGGTGGCTCTCAGCTAGCAACTTAGGAGACTGTGAACAGATTTCCATTTGAAGCCAGCCCAGTCAGGGAGGTCCTGAGACCCTTATCTCAATTAACTACTAAAAAAGCCACAAGGGGAGCTGTGGTGCAAGTGGTCAAGTGCCAGCCTTGAGTTCAAAAGCTAAGGGACAGCACTCAGGTCCTGAGTTCAAGCAGCAGAACTGGCACAAAAGAAAAAAAGTATAACTGTGAGTTAAATAAACTGCCTTTTGACTATCCCTAGGTGTCCAGTGAAGTTATAGGAACAGTAAGGATGGACTTGGGGAAGCACAAGCACTGGTGGACTCATATACCTGGTGGGAATCGAATGGGAAGAGGAGCAGTAATGAACTGGTGAGAGCTGACCTGGAGTTCTCAGAAGTGTGGTTCAGTGATGGGGGCATGCAGGGTAACAAAGCTGCCAAGATGGCTTTGTAGAATAAATCAGCTTCCTTAAAAAGTTATAAAAATGACAATGATAAGCGTGGTAAGACTGCTCAATATGAAACTGAGTGGCATTCTTTTTTTTTTTTTTTCCTTTTCTGAGGTGTTAGGGCCCAAATCCAGGCCCTCATGAATGTTAGACAAGTGCTATACCACTTAGCTATTTTTCCAGCACTTCTACTGTTAACAAACATGACATCCACTTTTATCATCACAGGCTGATAAGGCAGTTACATTATTACTTTTTTTTTGCTGATCCTAGAGTTTTGGTTTTGTTTTTTTTTTGGGTCCGGTTATGGGGCCTGAACTCTGGGCCTGGGCACTGTCCCTCAGCTCTTCAGTACAAGGCTAGCACTCTACCACTTGAGCCACAGCGCCACTTCCGATGTTTTCTTTCTGCTTATGTGGTGCTGAGGAATCGAAACCAGGGCCTCATGCATGCAAGGCAAGCGCTCTACCACTGAGCCACCTTCCCAGCCCCTGATCCTAGAGTTTTAACTGGGCCTTGATGCTGTTCCCTGAGCTTTGGTGCTCTAGGATAGAGCTCTATTACTTGAGCCACAGTTCTATTTCAGTCTTTTTTAGTGATTAACTGGAGGTAAGATTCTCACATTTTCCTGCCCAGCCTCCTGAATAGCTAGAATTACAAGTGGGAGCCACCAGTACCTGGCTTATTTACTTACTTTTGGTACTGGACGTTGAACCTAGTTTTGTGCATGCTAAACCCATGTGCTACCACTGAGCTATGCCTCCAGTCCCCAGCCAGAGGGAACCTTTTACATTTTTGTTTTGGTATAGGTACTGGGACTTGAACGCATATCTAGGCACTGTCCCTTAGCTTTCTCATTAAAGGCTGGTGTTCTACCAGTTGAGCCACAGCTCTGCTTCTGTCTTTTTGGTGGTTAATTGGAGATAGGCATCTCATGGCTTTCCGGCCTGGGCTGGCTTTGAACTGTGAACTCAGATCTTAGTCTCCTGTGAGAGCTTTTATTTTTGCCAGTCATAGGACTTGAACTCAAAGCCTGGGCACTTATTTTTGCTCAAGGCTAGCACTCACCACTTGAACCACAATGCCACTTCTGGCTCTTTCTGTTTATATATGTGGTACTGAGGAATTGAACCCAGTGCTTCATGCATGCTAGACAAACAATCTACCACTGAGCCACCTTATGACTAGAAAATAAACAATAAACAAGAAATGATCATGCTATTATGAACTATTAACATCACAAAACTTTAGAGACCATAGTGGTGGGAAAACTGGGGTAAAGGGCCTGGACACATTCTTCTCTGGCTGAAATCAAAGTGAGGAAGGCAGAAAAAAATGGGCAGAAGAGTGTGATTGGAGCCAGCATGAGTTTTAGGTCTCCAACCAAAACAACCAAGATGGTCAGTGTCTTGTGAATATCCATTATGGAAGGCCTTGCTTTGGTCAACTTCATAGGTTTCTGGGGCAGCACCACTCTTACTGCTTCTAGCTCCCCAAAGATGAATACAAGAGCATTTGATGTTTTTCATACCAATATGTATATGTAGGTGGCTGTTGTTCTTGTGTTGAAAGTTTGGGACCTGGAAAGACAAGGGCTCTTGGAATCCCTATTCTTACCAAACACATTATATTAAACAGCCCAGAGCCAAATCAAAAATAAAAGAACAACACATTTCAATATCTACCATCAACAATACCATGGAAAAACTCACATTATAAAAGTATATAATGAAAAATAGTTTGTAAACATTATTGACAGTATAAGAATTAAAGTCTTTCGAAAACCTCAAAAAAAAACCCCCATAATTCAAGGAAGTACTACAGAGATTGATTGTTTCCTTGAAAGATAAATTTTAATATACAGAATAAAATCCAAGAAGTTTTCATTATTTTCACTTTCCCCAGAATTTGTAATACATGAATCTGACCAGTAGAGTTTGTATTTTGGTCCAACACATTATTATATGATCAAGTCCGGCTTGA